ACCAAGTGGCACATTCCTTCTCACACTTGTGTACACAATACATTCTTCCTTCTATTCTGGCCTTCCCAAGACTTCTCTCCTCTCCTAAGGAACCGAACCTGGAAGATGGCAGCAGTTAGGGTTAAATCTGAAGAGCATTGCGATGCGCCCATCTACCGCAATCGAAAACTGAGCGGTTGGAGGAGTTGCTGAGGCCCGTAAGCACACCTTCTTCCTAATAACGTGGCCTTCAAAGGGCTCTCCGAATTACCTTACAGTTCATTAAAAGGCAAAGGTTGGGCGGGTAGCAGACAGCTGAGATAACTCGAACCGCAAAGACAGCTTAGTGTGTGAACCGACCGACTGGGTAGACTGAGCTTAAAGCAGCAATGGCTCCCCATAATGTGCCTTCCTCTATGTGAGAGCGACGTGTCGCGACAAACTTAATGGGGGCGCTGTCCACGCCAGTCACCAACGCCCTCTCCCATCATCCATACGCGTGGCGTATATTGCGAAGCCTCAGCAAATACTTCTGCAAATAGTACACGTTTTATTGAAGAAACGCCAATCGTAAATATTTACAAGGATAGTTCAAACAAATATATACAAAGGCGGTCCTCGAACCTGGTTAAGATGGTAAGGTATATTCGCCTTGATGACTTGTGCCACAAGTTACGAATCGTACCCACAACCTTCGCAAATGTCGTCGAAAGCGGTGGCGACGACGACTTTTCGAGTTGCAATTCCCCTTCCCCATTCCGGTTCGACATTAAAGGGCTCAGACGCATTATTCTGAATCGTGATTGCCGTCAGCACCACGCCCTGGTCAGCCACTTCATCATTCCACCTCTTCTTTGACCCTTCCTTCTCCAATTGTCGAAATTTTTCTAATTCATTTGCATGCACACCCCCCGCTGGTTGTCCTCCTCTTTTTCCTTGTCGTTCTTCTCTTCCTCCATCTTCTCGTCTTTATTTTCCCCATCTTCCGTCCCCTCCAACGTCGACTCATCCTCCGTTTTATTCTCCTCCTCTTCAGCCTCCTCAATGCTTTCGAGTTTAGGCTTAAAACCCGATCTTCGCCTCGTCGGGCGCACTCGATCCACCGTTTTACCTATTAGAGCAAAATGTATCAGGGGTTAACGTTTTCCTCTGTTACGGTAAGTACACGTGGAATGACGGCAACAACTGAACTTAGAGCACATTCGCTTCATCGACTCACCTGAAGCCGAAGGAGGTCCTCTCACTGATCCGTCCATACCAGTCGATCTGGCATTTTAAAAATCAGATACTTCTTGGAAATCCGAGGTAAGATTTTCCTCACTGGACAGTAAATAGTTTGTTGGGATATATCTGTAAACGAAAAATTATAAATTAAATTATCCGAAATATTTACGAAGCGCTACTGAATTCGTATATAGGTACACTAAGTGAACGAGTTGCCGTTACTGAGCCAGTTCGCATACGATGAACTCACTTTGCAGATGAACGGGGAGTTATCTCTATGGATTGAGGAATCTTATGGTTGAATTGATCACTGCGGAACAGTAGATATTTTTAGTAGCAGATCAGGGCAGAAATTTTAATCATTAGGAAAAAGATACCTACAAAAATAATAAAAAGAAGTATAGTTCGTTAAAAGTTATCAGCTTCTACCTAGGCACGTATATGCTACTTCTATCAGAGAAAATGTGTAAAAACCGCTAGATTAAGTTACAGTACATAATAAGGCAAAATATGGTATACCAGTTGCATAAAGGAAGAAATGCGTTGGATACTTACCGTGCATTAGGCACTTTGACAAACGAATAAACATCAGAAAATTACTGAAGAAGTTCATTAGGAAACCTCCGAACTCTTGACCACGCAGAGTGACTCGTGATAATCCGGGGAGACGTGTCATTGTCCGCGCTCGCTGTGCATAAACTGCGTTGAATGACTCAGCACAGTATCGATC